TGGGCGCCTGCAACCAGCAAGACATCCCGGCGCAGGCGCGGAGGCCCCGGACGCTCCGGTCCCGGCCATCCCGGCGCGGGCGGGGGGCCCAGCTGCCCGGAGTGGCGGCTCCGGCCACCCTAGAGCCGGCGGCGGGCAGGCACGGCGGCTGCGGCCACCCCGGCTCGTCCAACGGCTCCGACTCCCTTCCCATTGCCGCGGCGTCACCTCCTCTTCAGTCTTCCCCCTGCTGCCCCCCCGCGCTGCTTCGCCGCTGGCCTAGCGCGTGCGGGCTCCGCCGCCGCCGGCCAAGCGCACAGCAGAGAGTCCACGAAGACACCGAGAAGGTGTGCACTAGGTGCGCGTGGCCATCGGCAGGGGTGGATCTGGGCCCTCATGGAGGCGTTGCCACCTTGCCTGGCTCGGGGACGACGCTTCTCAATGCCGCAGCTATATGCCGCGGTGGTGTCCACGGCGCGTCCAAGGAGCCAAGGTACAGCCGTAGAGGACGTTCCCCCTGTGTGTGGTGTGCGACGGAGCTTCGACGAGGGAGTACCTGGCCACCTACATCGGCGTTAAGGTTCTCCAGCAGCACCCACCACCATCTTGGACTACAGACTGGATGTTAACACGATAGGGCCTATGTGGTATTCGACGAAATGCCCATGAGGTAAATAGCACATCCTTGTCTCCAATTCTCCATGTGTATGCCATAAATAAATGCTTGTCCGGACTGTGCCTGTGATCTTGTTTGCATTACTGTTTCTACCCAAACATCTTTGATAGTCACTGTGATGATGCACGGTGCGTCTGTAAAGAATGGTTAATCTGGGAATGTGAACAAACTGATCCTGCTGCTGCTTACCTTTTTGCTTTTCTAATCAGTTCAGGTAGCAGTAATTACAACTAGCATGGGAGAGTAATCAAATATGTGATAGTCTAAAAGAATCAGTAAATAAGAAATTGTTGATGGGTAGACTAGCTTCACATATTTAATACAGAGAGTTAGTATGGGGTGACGAACTGACGATAAGCAAGTGCGAGATGATGGAGCTTTCATGGTTGTTAGTCCTTTCGGCCTTGTTTGTAGGTGACAGAAGGATCAATAACATGGCTATAAGTTTTCTTTAATTGAATACCTCTGGAAATACTTGAATATGAATGAAAACAAGCTGATATTTTTCATAATCCTTTTATTTCAATGTTGCTCTGAGTGGTTATCTCCCTGGGTGAATTATCTTTTTCCTTAGTATCTACTTTTGGACTCAATACAATAAATAGCTATACTTGCACTTCTCCATGACCACGAGGGTATTCAGAATTAAATGCTGACACATCTTCTCACATTATGCAACTGCAGGTGAACTCTCATCTTACAACTATGGCCTACTTTCAACAGTTGATTGTAACACAATTCTAAGGTTTCCTTTCACTAATTTATAACCTATTGCCTTCAGATAACATAGTCTGAAGCAAATGCATGCTTATGTACATCATGTGAACTATGAGAAAAAAAAGTATACAATCTACGGTGCATTTGCCCCTTCTTTTGTGCAATTTACTTATATGATACAAAAAGTAGTGCTGACAACTAGCAGAGTTTATCAATTTTCAAAGTTAAAGAAATACCTCATGCTTTATTGGGTGCTTTCTCTGTAAGATATATGTTTATGTTTAGTGTAATATTATTTCCCTGTTTGCCTCTTCAACACACATGTTAGTAAATACCCTGTTTGTTTGGGCTTTTTTGGCTTATAAGCCGTACTTTTTCAACCAACGAACAGTATTTTTCTCTCACACCAAATCAGCCAACAATACTTTGATTTGGTGTGAGAGAAAAATACTGTTCGTTGGCTGAAAAAGTACGGCTTATAAGCCAAACAAGCCCAAATGAACAGGACGAAAGACTTTATTCCAATCTGAATAAGGGATCAGTTAATGCATATGCTAGAAAAGGCAGTGAGCATGATAGAAAAAGCAGTGAGGGGATGCTAGAAAAAGCAGTGAGCAGAACGGTTTTGAGGCTGACAGTCAATATTAATCATTTTTCATAGATCATGCTTACATTATTATATATAGAGAAATCATCATGTAAATAACATCTATGTACAATCACGTACTCCTATGTGCTTTCTATATCAAGCGTCAAGGAACTGCACTCCATGCATGATGTGTATTCAAATATCTTAGGATGGTAATTTGTAACATCTTAGTTCTAAGCTTTCCTACAGACTTTCACGTACAAATAGTGATGCATATAAAGGTTGTACCCCCAGAAAACATTGATCTTGTCGATACAATTAGGAAAATAAAAATGAGCTTAAGGCTGATAAAATGTCAACAGACTAATTCAAGTGTGATATATAATACAAAATATCTGAAGTATTAACTATTCATGGAAAACATTACCATTCTTTCCAACCAATCAGGGCAGGGGCATCCCAGTCATTGCAAGACAAAACTTGAATTAGATTTCTCCATCAAAGTCTTAAAGCACTAGCATCCCAGTCAAAATCACCAATAACCATCTCAGAAAATCTCAGCACTTGCATTAAATTATTTTATTCTCAATTGGTAATAGTTTGAATACCTTTTGCCAAATAGTTCAGCACATGTTTCAATTTCATGGATAACAATTTTATGCTTTTTCAACCAGTTGTAGTCGCGGTTCACCTCTTGGATTATTTTCTAATGTTGTGCACCTTTTTTTTTCAGCTGTCAAATTGATCCGTCCTCAGCTGTCCAATTGGTCCGCGCTGTGTGAACTGATATCTATTTTGCCTGCTCCAAGTGATGTTCAGCAATTATCTACTACGGTCCTTATTTAGTAACGTTTAGGTAAACCAGAGATGAAAGAAGACATACTAGATGGAGAATATATTTGCTTAGTTGTTGATTGATTTGGATATAGTGCCCGTTCTCACTTTCTGCATTACAATGGATCAGGAAGAAATAAAGCAAAGTTTCCAGCCTCACAGTTCCTGCTCCTAATCTCCAATGTTTTTTTTTACTTCACATATACATGGATCTCGGTTCTACTCGTTCTCCATATAAATGAGATGAGAGGAGTATCCTTTTTTTCTCTTTGATTTAATCAACACTGGACTACTCAAAGATGGCGCGGCAACGCCGCGCCCTGGGTTTTCTAGTAACAGAATAATAGGTGCTCTTTTAACGCTTAATCACGTGTCTGTTTACTCTTTCCAGGTGCAAGGGAATACAATATTTAAACAAAAAGTGGACTTCACAACACAGGTACCACAAGTGGCCTTTCAGTTTGTCGTACATTTACACAGGTTCTGCAGCAACACACTGAGAACTAATCTAAGATCCTATGCAGATATAAGAAGCAACAAGAACACCCCAAGAAGCATCTACTATTACATTATTAGAAGACATTTTAATGCATCTACTGCATATATCCAAGCATCTTTAAATAAAGTGTGTTGAACCACATAACACAGAGGCATATATCTCTGTATCTTGTGATGAAAAGCCATTAAAGTCCTGAGATAGCATCATCTGAATTCTGAAACTCATGTTGACATGGCATAGAGTATGCATACCTTCCACCACAGCTGCTGAGCAGCTCATGAAGTTCATTGGTAAGACAGAAATTCAGAATCATATATGTATAGTTGCAATTATCGATATTTCTGTATGCAGTGAGAAAAGCAGCTAAAGTTCTGAGACAGGATTATCTGCAACCCATGTCGACATGGCATAGAGTATGCGTCCCTTCCATCCTTGCCAGAGCCAATTATGATCCGTATCAATGACAAAGTCCTTGTGATACTGAACCCTAACTTTGTCCCTCAAGGTCTTTACAATATCGGGATCCAAGGAAAGTTCGGAGAAGACAAATGCTGCAGTGGTGGCGGCTTACCGAGAGCACTGACCTCAGTGCTTGCTAAAAAAATGTCCAGGGTACATCTTCTGCTGCTTTTTTGAGGAAAAAAAAATCAAACACCTGCTGATAAAATAGGTTATTCTCTGTTTTGTCCTGTACAGCAGGAAAAAAAATTCTTTTGCTTGACCAAACTCTGCAGTATCAAATACCTGACACTCTGAATTTGCGACTCTGTTGTATATGCATAATATAGTGACATGGATGAACAGAACAAAAAACAGACTAATCTTTACCTGCTTCTACCCGCTTCAATTGTCCCAATGTCAGGCTGTCATAATCAACTTGTCCACGTTTGGTCAGGTGCACTCCCCTGTTCCACACATGGACAGATGAACCAAATTGTTAGTGCCCCATACCTGGAAAAGAAATAAACAAGACATAGAACCATAAATGCTCAACCTGTGAGATTCAACAAACAGGCAAAAATATTGCATAAGGAAAAACATAGTGCACGAAATGACTAGTGCAAACAAGAAACATCAGACTTTGAACAGTAAGTTTATCCAAGGCAACTGTAGCTTTATTAAAGATCTGTATTAATAGAATCCTAGCAGATTTGCTGCAGACGATCTTTATATCGTAACTTTCAGCAGATCCAAGCCTGACTCTTCCCATATTGCAGAAACATCACATAATCCTGAATCCAGTGAACACATGTACCTGTACTTGTCTGGATGAGAAAATGATGGAAGATATCCAGCCAAATAGAATAATTTGATTAAACAGAGCAACTTTGATAGTCACGCCTAAGACACAAGGGAAATGACAAGTCTAATGATACAGAACAAACAGAACTGGAAGAGATAGATAAAAAGTCGAATAAGTAATCAATAAAATTGCTTATCAGTTATAGGTTGGTGTACACATCACAATTCTGCAACATATCCAGAACTATATCTACAACCTATGTAGCTCTAAGCATCTATTGTTCTACTTATTTCCAGCTTACAAAGTTTCAGCACTGAAACCCTCTAGAAACAGAAGTCCAGTGGGCCACAGATGCTGGGTCATAGTTTGGTAGTAAAATAAAGACAGACCATCTATCAAACATCAATATCATTAATAATCCAAAACGAGGTGAAGTGAAGCAGCTAAAAGATGTATGGAGTTATCATTCATAATCCTCAGCAACCCATGTTGACACGGCCAAGAGGACCCGCCCTTTCCATCCCTGCAACAACCATCGATGATCCTCATCAATGAGAAAGTCTTTGTGGTAATACTTCTTGACCTTATCCCTCACAAGCTTTACAACCTCTGGATTCAACGGCAGCTGCTTGAGCCCAGCCCGGTGGTTCCGCACCTGCCATTGCTTATAAGTCTCAGGGCGATCCAACCTGTCTGCACCCTCACAAGCAATAACATTCAGGGCAGATCGCCCAACAATATCCCGCTCGATCAGTAGCCGTACATCATTGTCCCGGGGAATGGTTGCATCCAGCATGTCAAATAGTGCTGAGTAGTAGAACAGTGCCTCCCGGAACCGTGTCGGGAAGAATGGAGCACCATATGAGCCATTATTGACAATCTGGATGAAAATATTGGGTCGCATCTTTCGAATGTTGTTGAGCACCAAATCTCTGGGGCTTGGGGTGTCAACGTCAACACTCTCATCCATCAAGTTACTGAAGTGGCAGTCACTGTTCACAACGAGCACCTCATCTGGATCAATGTTGAGGTCCTCGGCAGAAACCGTCTCCCACTTTGCTGCTATGGCATGGAACTTGAATGGCACGCCGAATTCGTGGGCACAGTTGCTAAGCCGGCGGCCTGTTTCTTCAATCTGGTAGGCTGGGCGGAACCCAGGCTGCGGAAGGTCAATGCCAGTGAACCTCACCTCTGGAGGTCCACCTTCTCTATCTGCTAGGAAATGTAGCAAGCCTGGCCACTGTAAACCATACTGAACACCATATGCCACTATGTGCAACTTGCTCCTCCCTGCCACGGCATCCAAGATGTTGCTGTTGGAGAAGATAATATGCACCTTATTGAGGCTGATGGCCGCCAAGAATAGCTTGTATGCCTTGAGGAACTCCACAACCGACGTGCGTTTTGCCATGAGCGACTGGTACACCTGGCTCCCTGTGCCAGCAAGTCGCGCCTCCAGTCCTTCTGCAAAACAATAGGCCAACCTCTGTGTGGCATCCCCTCTGAGAGAGGAGTGCTGCTTGATCTGTTTCAGCATCTCGGTTGCACTTCGGCGATCGCCTGTGGCCATTGCCTGTGCGCAATGGATGAGCATGGTGTGCAGGTCAACAAACTCGTTCCCATGCTGTCTTCCCCGCGCCCCCTTCCGGCTCACCCTCCTGGCACTCTTCTCAGACTCGCTATCCATGGCGATGCGCAGATCCTGCATGTGTTTCAAGAATCCATCATGTTTGTCGGACATTAATTCGTCGAACAGCTCACTAGCACCGGTTTCTTCTTGTTCAGGCATCATCAGTTTGCTGTTTCTGCCTGTCTCCACTTCCAGGTCCTCTTGGGAGTGACGGTTCTTGCGGCCCCTGCCATTGCTACTTCCTCCAAGCATTGATATTCCATCCACCTCCTCCTCCTTCACTTGGGTAGCAACAAAGGCAGTCGACGGCTTGATGTCTCTGTCTGTAGGCAAGGATTGGCCAGAGGTGGCATCAAGGTCGATGAGAAGGCTATTATTGGTGGGCAAGAATTTCTTGGCCTCTTCCATGCCTTTGAGGAACGCCATGTTGAGCATGTCCATGTTCTCCCCATTCTGGGCACTGAAGAACGCCGAGAACAGCGCCGCATGGTCAGCATCACCAGCAGGCAAGGTGGTGTCCTCTGTCTTCGTCTCCTCCTCCGCGCACGCCGACCTCTGGATGCCCACGCCATCGCCGGCGTCCTGGGCAACGAGGGAAGCGCACTGCTGTTGGGCTCCACCACCGCCCGCGTTCTGGGCTGTGAAGGAAGCGCTCAGCCGTTGGCCTCCGCCGCCGCCGCCGGCGGTATCCAAGAACGCCGGACTCGGCTGGAACGCGGCGTCTTGTCCCGGCAAGAAGACGGCGTTGACCTCATCGGCGGTGAAGTCATCGAGCCCCACCCCAATGTCCGGGTACGGAGGGGAGCGCAGCAGCTGGGAGAGCTCGATTGGGTCGTAGGGCCAGGTGGGGTCGGCAGATGGGGGGGCGGAGGAGGACGAGGAGAGGGTGGAGTTGACGCCGGTCCCTGAGCTGGTGACGGCGGCGGAGTCGGATGAGGAGGAGGCGGTGGCGTCGGAGAGGATCTGTGCATACGGCTGCTGGGCGCTAAGGAGCGCGGGGTGGTCGGGGTACTGGTAGAAGAACCTGTCGTCGATGTCCTCCTCCATGAGCATCCGCGAGATGAAGGGGAGGACGAGGTCGTCGGAGGAGGCAGGGTCGTCGGAGGTCGGGTCATCGCCATTGGGGCGGGGCGTCGGGGGCAGGTCGAGGAAGATGGAGGGGGAGAAGGGCTCGGGGGGTGGCGACTGGCTCGAAATAGCTTAGCCCTGAAGATGGAGGGGGAGAACTCCTACGCTACAAGCTTTGACGGTGGCAAATTTGAAGGAGCTGCTGCCTGCTGAGGAGGGGCAACACGGGGGAAGGTTCCAGGATGGCGAGTTTGGTGACCATGGCGGCGACCAAATCTTGCCCACGGTGTCCGTGTTTGACAACAGCAGAAACAATCTCAACTTAATCCTGAATACTTTGACTACTTTGTCTGAGGTTGACACATGGACGTGGACATCTCGATCCATCCGCTGCCAAGACTTCTGGGACGCACGAGCGTTTGACTCATATCCCATCAGTCATCTTCTTTGTCACACGATTAGTCCATCCTAAAATATCGGTAGCTTTCGTTTTCCGAGAAATAACTTTAATATAATAGATATTAAAAAATATTGATATTTATGGTATATAATTGATATTATTGGAAAGATCTTTGAATCTAATTTTTTAATAAATTTATTTGAAGATACAAATATTACACATATTTTCTATAAATCAAGTCAAACATATGGCACGAAAACTGAAAACAACAAATAAATTAAGATAGAGAGAGAGTACGTTTCCACCAGCCAATCAGCACGGGGCTAGCTATTTCATGTACCCCTGCGTCATCGCAGAAATAAACGCAAATCTCGTTTCTTAATAAGTCAACCTTTTCTAAATTTGACCAAACATATTCAGAAAAAAATAGAAAATATTTGTGATGTGTAATAAACTATTGCTAGATTGATCGTGAAATACAGTTCCACAATAAATTCAAAGTAAATTTCACTAACAATCCTTAAATTTGTCCTGGATTCTTATCTAGCTCTCGGCGCATTTGAATTGCACATTGGGCTTCCTAAAGTTGTCTTGAGTTCTTATCTATGCCCTAGTATATGCAAATTGTATGTATGGTTTCCTAAAGTTGTTTTTAATATTTCATCCCCGTCCTGATACTTACAAATTGCACACTTAAGCCCTAATTTTACATTAGGATACCATTTTGGTCCATTCCAGGGTACTTGCTTCCTAATATTGAGTGCCCAACCCAATAAAATAGTATGGGCATGCGCCTAGCTAATAATCCATACTAGACTATACTATGACTATGAGTACTTGCGCATGCATTTCAGGGTGCGTTTGCTCTACTACGAGTTACGATAACAATCGGCTAAAATGAGAATCGATCGACTAAAACATGAGAATGAAACTCAAACTCTCCTCTTTCTAGTGCGGATAACAACTATCTCCAACACTATATTTGGTCTATTTGTTTCTCTAAAGGCCTATATATTCTGGTTTAAGGGTCATGACCGGGTACTATTGTAAAAATATCACACTAAGATGTCAACATATATAAACTGAAATAAGCTATCAAAGATCAGCTTATTTTAGCATCTAGTCAATATTTTACCATATATACTACCTATAATTAACCTATAAGCCACCTTTAGTTATATAAGCTATTTTGTTTGACAAACAAACAAGGTCTAACTAAGACACAAACCTGACACTACTACACAGAACTTTATCGAGGCGGGCATAAATGATTAATAGAGGCGTGCATCGTAACCACCTTGCTCCAAAGGTCACGACAAATGGGATGTTTTCTGAGGCGGTTCGATGCCCGTCTTCGGTAACTTGAATAAAAAAAGAAAAAACAAAAGAAAATGTGTGGATAAGCACGGCGAGCCCATCCACACGCCGCTACCACCGCAGCTGCTTGCCGGTGCCTGCATCCTCACCAGACTGCGCGCAGAACCGGGATCCGGCCGCCCGCAGCCGGATCCGTTGTGCCCACGCCGGATCCGCCACCGCTGAGCTCCTCCTCATCGGATCCAAGCTCCTCGTTGCTGGATCCGTCGTGCCAGAGCCGGGTCCACCGCTCCCTAGCACGGGCTCGCCGTTGAAGCCTCCGCCCTCGAGCACGAGCTCGCCATCGAAGGCATCGAGCGCCACCACTGTGGATATAAGCACCGACGAGGGATAGAGCCCCGCACCATCGTGCAGCGCCCCGCCCTCGAGCGAGCTCTGCCGCGCCGCGCCACGCCCGCACCGACGCGCTCTGGACCGCCGCCGTAGGTTGGGGAGTTGCGACGGAGAGAGTGTGGAGGGAGAGAGAGTGGAGGGAGGGAGGGAGGGAGAGAGTGGTGGAGTGAGAGGTGGGCGCCGGCGAATGAGAGGTGAGGGAGAGGAAGTGAGAGAGCCGAAACCCTAAGTCACAGTATATATAGTGGGGCGTGATATTGGGCTGGTTTGGGCTTTTCTTATTAGTGGCCCGCCTTCAAAAATAGGGATATTTTTATAAAGCCCGCCTTCGTTAATGGATTTTACGAGGCGGTTATTTTTAACTGTCTCCGTGAACCGATTTTGCGAGGCGGTTGATTGTGACTGTCTCGATTAATAAAAATGCCCGCTTCGGTTAATCTTAGGCATTAACCGAGACGGTTCAAATGCCCGCCCGTCTCTGAGGCCATTTTTAAACGCCTCGTAAAAGTTTTTCCATAGTAACGTGAGCAATGAGACATGCACTCCCTCTCTCTCTTTTCGTATTTAACTATCGCTATAGAAAGTGTGCTAGTCAATTTTTCTAAGTTTAACTAGGTTTGTAAGGAATATTAATAATATTTGTATCTCTAATTAAGTTTATTAAAAAATAGAAGCAATGATCTATCTAATGATATTTATTATATTTTATAATTATTAATATTTGATTTTTCAGGAAATGAAAACAACGAATAAAAAGGATCGATAAAGTAGGCCAGAATAAACAGTCCGGTATTCGTCATCCGAAAGGATACAAAAGCGATATATGGAGTAGGTGGCACACAGGAACCATGTGTCCAAAAGTCAAGCAGTCAGTCTTGACCATACAAAAAAGAAAGGTAGAAGAAGCTTAGGCCTGGTTTAGTTGCTGAAAATTTTGGTAACAGTTGTTATTTGATAATTAGTGTCTAATCATAGTCTAATTATGTTTAAAAGATTCGTCTCATAGATTTCGTCTAAACTGTGTAATTAGTTTTATTTTTTATTTATATTTAATGCTTTATACATGCGTCCAAAGATTCGATGTGACAGAGAATTTTGAAAAATTTAGCGTTTTGGAGGGGAACTAAACAGGCCCTTAGAGAACAAGTGATGATCGAGACCATGCATACATGCATATGCATCGTTCCTTATCACTCATATTATACTAGTACTAACATAAGTTTAACTAAACACATGCGGAGTATGCGTCAAATTAAATTCCCTGTTGCTAGTATTAGTATAAACTATGTAGTAGGCCTAGCTAGCTAGGTGCTTCTTCTTTTTTTTTGACAGCATAGGTGCTTCTTATTATATCGATGCGATATATATTACTGACAATTGACAACACGGGACAACTGCTTCCTAAGAAAGCACCTATGCCAACCTCTAGTTATTACGTATAGTACTTGGGAATCTATCTTTGACACAGGTTTAACCAGGCTAAACTTATATGCACATACACATATATATATATATAGGAGTAGATAATTATATATTATTCTTCATCCTAGAGGTGCTGCCGTGCTGGTCAGGTAGATATGATCAATGTTTTTTTTCTTTTGATTGACGAGGAACTGCTGCAAGGCACAAGACCAATGCCTTGTTTAGATTGCAAATTTTTGCAACCTGGATATTGTAGTACATTTTGTTTGTATTTGACAAACTTTGTCCGATCATGGACTAACTAGGCTCAAAAAATTCGTCTCGTGATTTACAACCAAACTGTGTAATTAGTTATTTTTTTACCTATATTTAATGCTCCATGCATGCGTCCAAAAATTGATGTGATGGAGAAAGAGTGAAAAAACTTGGAATTTGGAGGTGATCTAAACAAGGCCCAAACTGAATTTTTCATTGAAATGCGCGGATCGAAGCTGTTTTTTTAGGAATCAGAAGGGGTTAGTTGTCTCCTAATGCTTCTATTCTATATTTTTGTATATGAAAGCAAGAGTTGAGTTACAAAGCGAAACCAGGAAGCAAAGAAAACCAAATAATTAAATTACAACTGAGTCTCTATTCCATTGACTAATACTATGCAATAAAGTATTTGCTCTTTGGTCGATGGATAACCAAAGCGAATTCTTTCTGAAAGATCATCCTAAGCTAGTACAATCCTCGGAAAACAGATCGTCATTTCTGAACATCCAAATGCTCTCCAACCCATAAGCCTGGATTGACGCTGATATCTAAAGACGCACATGGCTACGAAGATATCTTAAAAAGACTAATATTCTAGGATCATATAGTGTCTCATATCTGTTATGATATTTATCAAGGAAGTAGTAGTTAGAATAAAAGAATGATAACATGATCGACACATCACAAATCAAACTAGTCGTCTTTTTTATTTGAAAAGGCGACAAAGAAAATGATCAACTACAAACGCTCTTGCCATATAAGGTTTTGAAGACCGTAAAACCTATACTTGTTTTAATTAGCAATAAGATACAGCACCAGTTGAAGGAACATCTGGTAGACAAAACCCCAAAGAATCCTTGGGTGCCAAAACAGAGAATCGAATAAACCAATGAAATCCTTGAAAGTAAAGAAAAGAAATTGATAATAAATAAATAAATATAAAATGAATATAAAGATTTATAATTGGGTTTTATTAGGGTGAGAGATGTTAATTGGGGGGAGGCGAATACCTGGACTGGGCCTAACGAAACGATGTCTTGTAGCGTCGGCAAAATGAATAGCCAAGTCAGTTAATTTCAAATGGGCCTAGTATAATCAAATAGGATGTGGTAGATAAGAGGTCCAGCACTAATATGGCGCTTGCCAATTAAGCCCGCTAACCGACTACATATATAAATTGTTCTTTATGTATCTAGTTCTCAAAAAGAAAAAAACTGTTCTTTATGTACAGCGTAACTTATTGTTTTTCTTTTTTTTAAATAATGCACAGCGTAACTTATTTCTTCCCTTGCAGGTCTAAGGCAGCGGGCAAATAGGATGCTGGATTTGGTCATCTCCTCCCTCCGTCCCAAAATAATTGTCATTTTGGGTTTCCGTGTGGCAAATTTGACTAGATTTATAGAAAATACGTGCAATATTTGTATCTCCAAATAAATTTGTTAAAAAACTAGATTCAAAGATCTTTTTGATGATATTAGTTATGTACCATAAGTATTAATATTTTTTAATATATATTTAATCAAAGTTATTTTTTGGAAAGCGAGAACGACAATTATTTTAGTACGGAGGGAGTATATGGACAATGGACATCGATTTGCATGCAGAGTAAGCTGGAGTTGGCAGGTGGCAGGCCACCTACACCACCTTCCATACCCAATCCTTCTCTTTGGCCCTTTGCAGTTGCAGAGCAGTTGACTAATTATTTCCTTCTTTATTATTTCCTTTCCATTTATTCACTTTTATTAATTAACTAATTTCCTTGCGTATGGTTAAATAAATGTATATACACACTACCTGGGCAATCACGCGTTGCAGCAGCTGTATATTTTTGGAATACAATAGAGTAGTATAACAAGGAAGCAATTAATCACGGAATTGAAGAAGCAGTAAACCCACCTACGTTGTCAAGGTCTCAACTCTCAAGGAAGGAAACCTGCTTCTCCTCTGTGGCTCGTGCTTTGTACGCCCAAGAAGCACTCAGCAGAGTTGAGTCTGTCAAATTGCATTGCATTGCATGCCCCTGTTTAGTTCTGTTGTGTGCAAAGCCTAGTTTCCTTGCTGAGTTGATCATTTGACTTTGGGCCCGGTGATGTCCTCCTCTGAAACTGACAGGCAGTAGTTATTGATGAAGCATATAAGACATTGTGCAAAGCCAGCAATGCAATTGCTTTGGCCGGTTTGATTTGTCAACCAACCCAAAATGTGAAATGTATGGCGTGTCTAGCTCCCTCTCTCTCTGACCACAAAATCTTTGGAGTCGGTATCAGTTCAATTGTCTAACTAATCACTACTACAGTTTAGTCTTTGATTGACAACGTGCTCATGGGCTGCCTGATTTGGTCCATTCTACGCACCCTGCCACTCCCTCCCTCATGCCATGCGGCTGGGAGTTGGTGAACGCTATCTAACTGCAGGAGGATTCAAATGTGCCTGTCCATTTTTCTATTCTATGTACGCGTGCTGATATCTTTGTTAGACTTCTTTGAACTTAGATTATACTAGACATATTGCAAAGTCAAAGAAGAGTAGGTGGATGATGACATATGGCATTTCTAGTTCATCACACTTCTCAAAATAAAAATTACAGTTTCACTTTCACTTCATCCTCTTTTTTTCTCGAAAAAAAGATTTCATTGCTTGTGTTATACCACCTGTATGTTGAGGTACAGTACTCGCCAGAGGCTAAACTGAAAACAGTATATATATATAATCTCAATCTCAATGCCAGGTTAGTGAAGATGGGGGCTCTCGACGTGCCTAAGGTCGTCCATGGCCGCCAAGGATGGCGTCTGATCACCTGCATGTGGCTCCACGCCGGAGTTGTTCATCTGCTCATCAACATGCTCTGCCTCGTCATCATCGGCATACGCCTCGAGCAAGAATTCGGGTTTGGTAAGTGATCACATCATACACACTGTCTTTTGATTAATTACTCCATTCTTCATCCCAGCTTTGCTGAAACTAATTAACACATCAGATGCGTGCCATTTAGTCACACTTGGGACTCCCTTATCCATCGTCCATCCATGATGCTGATAAATTGATAACTTTTAGTAGAAAATCAGGAAGAGTCTCGTGTCTGTTCTGCAAAGGAGAAAAAAAAAGTAAACAGATTTTCATTTCGTCCGAGTACTTATGCCTATGATGCAAATGCAATGTGCAGTGAGGATCGGTCTGGTCTACCTCATCTCTGGATTCGGCGGGAGCCTGATGTCTGCTCTCTTCATACAGTCCAATGTCTCCGTTGGGGCCTCCGGTGCTCTGTTCGGCCTCATTGGCTCCATGCTCAAACGCAAACAAGGTATATTTGCAAAAGATCTGCCTGATTAATGAGTAAACACTAAGCAGTAGAGTCTCTGTTGTATGTAACTCTTTATTCATTCAGGTGGCGGCGCTGCTAACGCTGGTGCTGGTGATCGTGGGGAACCTGGCGCTGGGCTCCTCCCCCGGGTGGACAACTTCGCCCACATCGGCGGCCTCATCTCCGGCTTCCTCCTCGGCTTCGTCTTCTTCATCCGCCCGCAGTTCGCCTGGCAGAGACGAGTATCAGCAGCAGCGGCAGAAGCGCCGCAGCCTGGCGGGCAACCGTGTACACGACGACGGCGGCGCTGCTCAGCCGCCGGTCTCGGTGAAACGCAAGCACAAGACGTACCAGTACGTGCTGTGGCTGGCCGCCGCCGTGCTGCTCGTCGTCGGGTTCACGGTGGCCACCGTGCAGCTGTTCCGTGGGTACAACGCGAACGAGCACTGTCCCTGGTGCCACTACCTCAGCTGCGTGCCGACCAAGAGGTGGAGGTGCGACGCGTCGCCGACCACGTGCACGGGGACGCTGCAGGAGAACACGCTCACCGTCGTCTGCGCCGGCGGCAGGAACCAGACGTACGTCGTCGCGTCGGCCGCGGACGCGTCGCAGGACAGGATCAACGACCTCTGCAACCAGCTCTGCACCTAGTATTCTTGGAGCAGAGCTGCTTTCAACTGCCTCTCATTCCCTATTCTTTGTGTACATGAAGGAAGGAATAGATAGAATTCATAGATGCTCCATTTTTTACTCACTGTACGTCAGAGGCAGAGTGAGATGATGAACAAACAATCGACCAGACTAAACGGCGAACGTCCGCCTAAATTAAATCTAGCGAACGATTTTCGAACAGGCTACATTTCCTTTTCTAGCAAAAAAAAAAAAAAAAATCCTAACTTTATCCTTTTCTGGATGGAACCACACGCGCAGCAGCCATTCTCCTCTCAACGCGCGCTTTCCCAAGCTGCTGATATCATTAAAAAAAGAAAACATTTATTTCAAAATGCTATAATTTCTGGACGGTGTATCCGTTTTTAATTTCGTCTGCACCGGTGTGTTTTACGCGACGATGCAAATAAAACTAGACCCCATTTATATGTGTTTCGAAGATTTTTTTTTTCTAGTAGCAATTTATGTATACTAACTCATAACGTATAACTTATAACATATGACTTATGCCAAAAACTTGTAAATACAAAAGTCATGAAAACACAACTTATGTAAAAAAAGTTATGAAACACAACATATGTTAATAAGTTATTCTAAAAATTTATGTACTTAAGTTATTCTATACAACTTGCCAACGCTGCCTAATAAAAGTTAAGATAAAAACTTGTGTTAATAAGTTCTGCTCTGTAGAATTTTATATTGTAAAAATTGTGACATATAAGTTGTGGCAATATGTTGTACATAAAAGTTATGTGTATATCTTGGTAACTTTTCAAAAAAAAAAGAAAAATTAAGTGTATAACTTGTTTGTATAACTTAAATATATATAACTTGATGAATGACTTAGATGTAAAGTTGGACGTATAAGTTATATTTCATAACTTAGTTGTACAAATTAATATTATAACATAATAGCAGAAATATAAAACTATGTACAAAAAATAACTCCATAGTATAACTTATAAATATGTAACAAAAAAACAAAAAATGGTAGAAAAAAAGAATGAAAAAATAAATGTTCGTATAGGTGCAGCCAATAGCCAATGCCATAGGACAAATCTGACCAGTGTACGGAGTATATCTCCATACCATGAAAAGGAGAAAAATTTAAGAACGAAGTGGAGCCTATAAAGAAATAAACCGTACAGAGTAATTAAAGGAAAAGGAACGGAGAGATCCGTTCGGGTGGACGCCTCATTCGCCGTGAAGAATGGGAACAAACATACAGTTCCAAAACAGATTGTTGATTATTTACTGCCGTTTCGATCTTTTTGTTAGAGCATCTACAGTCGCACGGAAGTAGTATAGCCACGTAATCCAACCAAAGGGATGAATCCGTTTATGGTAAAAAGCAATGTGGGTCCCACATGACAAATAAAAAAAACACGCACTGAAGTCCTCCCAGCTCCTTTTCTGCCTCTTTCTAAAAAAACACCTTTTTCTGCCGCCGCCTACCGCACAACCATCGCCGCCGTGACCGGGCGGCTGTCGCGCATCCCCGGCCGAGCGGAGATTCCCCGCGCCGCCGCCTCCAACGGCGCCACCTCGGCCACAGAGCTCCGCGCCGCCCCAGCCCCGGCCTCGCCCATGGGCCATGGCTGCCACCGCCACATCCACGGCCATCACCACCTCGGCCACCGAGCTCCGAGGCACCACGGCCCCGCCGTCGGCCACCGCCGGCACCTCCACGGCCTACTTCGTGGCCACCACACCAAGCCGGAGGTCGGAGATCTGCCTCCGCCTTGGAATCGGCGTAGGAGCAGCAACCAGCAGGTGCAAATCCATTTTTTAATGCACCAGGAGTCGACTCCAAGTCTTGCATCGGTTCTTCCCTCTCTCTCCTCGATGCATCGCCCCCTGCAGGCTGCAGTGGTTGATTCGACTCATTCTTGTGCCAGCTCGGACGGACGATGCATCATCGGTTTCAATTCTCAACCGGAACAGATAAAGGTTCTTTGCGTGGACATGAAGGAAGGGGTGACAGATGCATTGCTTTTCTCTTTTGTGTAGATGAAGCAAGTATACTGGAGCTTTTCAACAGTCAGAATGACATGGAGAAACATACAGTTCGAAGTTAAAACAGGATGCGAGCTATTATTATTTATGCAGCACCACCGTTTCAGTCTTCACTCTTCAGGGGTGCCTTCCTTGTACAACTGATGTCGACCAAATCCCCACCTGGTATATTTATTTGATTTCCATGAGCCTGAAAGAGAGATAGAAAGACAAAGAATTTATTCGATTAATCTTCGTCCTCTGTTCCAAAAGATTTGTGCAATTACATTCATAAATAAACAGTGCAGTCATTGTGCTACGATTCTTGGTTCAGGTGGCGGCGCTGCTAACGCTGGTGCTGGTGATCGTGGTCAACCTGGCGCTGGGGCTCCTCCCCCGGGTGGACAGCTTCGCCCACATCGGCGGCCTCATCCCTGTGACTGTCAGAGTGAGATCGAGAACATAGAGTTCCAAAACAGGAGAGATTTATTTATGTAGCGCCATTTATTTCTGTTATAATCAGTTTCATTGGTGCCTTATTGGTTGGTTATATACAGCACAGCTCATGCTAAGCACATCCCTGTGACTGACGTAGTCGCGGCCTGAGAGGGATGCATATATATCATATCATCAGGGCCGGATTGGTTTGTCTTTGCTATGCTACTGAATAAAAAAAAATGGCAGCCAGCTGTGTAGTGATGGAAAAGTTGGAACTGTCTGAATCAGGAGTCATTAAAGACAATAAAGAAGGGGAATGTGTCGGTCAACACCTCCTTCTCCGGCTGTCAACACCTCGCTAAGACCGCCTCCAACGGCCTCACCCAAACCTAAATATGCCTAGTCCATGTTGGTTCCGGTGAAAAAAACAAGGTCCAACGGAGTAGGCAAACCGAAGACCCAGTATGCGTTGGTGTCGAATGGGAACCCAAATAAGCGTCCGTCTCTCTTATCGACCCATATCTCTGTCACGCCCGTGCAACCGTGCGCAACCGTTTCGTGGGAGGGGAAAGAAGCGCCCTAGCGAGTCGCCGTCGGCGAGATCTGCACCGAGCTAGGCTTCGCAGGTACAAATCCCTCCGCCCCACCGCCGCGTCCTCCCGCTGGTGGTAGTAGTAGCTCCCTGTTCTTTATCTCCTTCTCCAGGTTGAATATGAACTCGCTCGCCCTCCCGTTTAGAATCCTAGATCTCGAATCTCATACGTTTGTCTCTCATACCGGAGGTTCTTGCGACTCCCTACTGCCCCTGCCTTTGTTGCGGTTGCTGCGGCCGGAGTCGTGCGCGTGCGCCGTCGTCGTCGTCTGAGGAACTCTGGCGTTTGTGATGGCGACATAATTCCGCTTGTGGCTTTCGTCTCAGGTAGGTTTCTCTCTGAGAGTTCGCCCTCATATTTTGTTCCTGCGGCAATGGACGTTTTTTTAGTTGGGTTATCTATTTGGAAAACAGAGCACTGTGATTCGCATATAGCTTTGGAGGATTCGTAGTTCTTGGTGTGCGCTATGGTACTGTCCGATGTGGATTCAATAGAAAATACTGGAACCTCTCATTCTTCCCAGTGCTCTAGATTTCTAGGATCCTTGTCACTCTGTGGGTTCATGAGGCTTGTGAAATTTTTACTTTACGCTTCGGTGTACTTTGCATCTATTTTCTCTTCCTTCCTACTACCACTCTGTGCTGATGTGTTGCATCTGCCCGAACTGCAGGTCCATTGTTGCTCGCAGATCTTAGGCTTTTTTTCTGGTGGTGGTGATGGGTTGCTAAAAGTGGAACAGCGTTCTTAAATTGCATCCGACATACTGGTACTCGGCTTCTTCCACTGAACTGTTTTTTCCACTTCAAAATAGTATATGCTTACCTTGCCTTTGATTACATATTCTTGCTGAATAACTATGATTCATCTACACTTTCAAGCTTGTGACATTGGTGATGGGCTTGCAAGGAAGTGTCTGTGTTACTCTATGAGCTATCTTAAACTAAACAATATTAAATACAATAGAAGACTTGTCTTGTTGACTACTTCCCCGTGGCATATATGTTGGTGGTGGTTTTAGATAGGGACCAAATTGCCTATGGATGGAAAAACCAAATGCATCATCTGTGCTGATATATTCTTTTGCTTCTTGTTGTGCATCACCATTATTGAATCTCTTAGAACAGGATGATGGATAACATTTTTAGTGGCACAAGTGGTCGCGTTGGCGAATCTGGAGAAATCTTTGGGGCAGATCAATGGCCTTTTGGTTATTCTGCTGCTTTGTAATCTTTGGATGTTCCTCCAAACCCTAGGTTTATTGCAGCCATGTATGATGGTTTGTTCTATTTACATATCAATACATCAATGATTAACAGTTCTTTTCATCACTAGTTCAACATGCATGGCCCCTCCCAGATGTCCTGCCCACCTATGAATGGGCAACTTAGTCAGGGGTTCTCCATTGACAACACCCATGGCTCTCAGGACCCTCCATCATTGAAATCACAGAGGGCCGCAAAGAAGAAAAACGTGTCCAGGAGAGGAACTGCATTCACCAAAGAGGAGGACTTGGTGGTGTGTTCGGCATTTCTGAATATTAGCAAAGACCCTATTACTGGTAATAGTTTGCAACGTCTTTTAAGAAATCTTTGACCCTTTGATGCCCAAATAACATAGTGGCATAACATGCAGGTACGAATCAGACTTCAGGTGGTTATTACAAGAGGATGCATGATTATTTCAATGAGCATAAGCCTGAAGGGTCCAACCGTAGCCAGATTGCGATTCAGCATAGGTGGGCATTGATTCAGAAAGCGATGAACAAGTTCTGTGGGCACAAAGAAGCTATTGATAGGCTGAATGAGAGAGGAAAAAATGAGCAGGATCGGGTATTGTCGGATACCAGAAAATGGGGTACCCCAAGCAAAGATCGAAAAACTGCTTAGACCCTAAAAACAGAACCAACGGAATAAACAAACGAGGTCTCGGCCGAAATCTCCGATTCGCCCGAGACCCCGTCGCCGAGCCCCAGTGGAAGCAAACGGTTCTCCGACTCGCCCGAGACCGCCTCGCCGAGGCCCCCGCGTTGAGGCCCCCTCGTCGAGGCCCCCTCGCCCGGGGCCTCGGAAGAAGTGCCGATTCTCCGATTCGCGTGAGGTCGGCTCGGCACCAACCCCGTGACCGCCTTTTTGACCAAACTGCTCTGACCGAACGTCACATCCAGCGCCCAACCACTCCGGCTGCGACGCACGATGGCACAGAACGGCGAAGCGGACCGGCACACACGCCGGTCGCGTCAACTCCCCGCCATCCGAGACGGCAGCAGCAGGGTTACCGACCACCGTGGCCGCCTAACTCCCCGCATCAAGGACATCATAACGTGGGGAGTCGAACGGGTTCCTCGTAGCTCTCGGAATCGCCGGACCGACCACTCCGTCTCGCCCGAGCCCCTCGACAGGCCTCGGATTCACCGATCTTACTACGCCCGCCCGTCCGCCTCTCACCCGAGACCCTCGGAAGGGCCTCGGACGAATCGGCCGCGCTCCACCTCGCCCAAGGCCGGGCTCGTCCCCACAACATCGTCGCCGCCCGCCTCAAAAGTCTCTCGGCAGTCAGAACATCCGATTAACGCGCCGGCCGCACCCACTACGTAAGCCATGATCGATCGGCAAGGGCCGCAATAGGAGCGACGGGACAACGGTCGATCACCTTTTTACCATCCCCATCGACAACACAGTACAGATCCCAGAGGCGCATGTCTCGCACTATTCCGCCGATGGGCCGAGACCCAAGATTCGCACTGGTCACTTCTCGTGCCTCGCACGGCGCAGGCCTCGGCTGCACAACAGCTGCTCGAGACAACAGCCCTAAGACGACCTCGGCACGACGACGGCCACGAAGGCCGCCGAGCCTCTACAATCCACCAAGTCAATAAATGCGCAAAGATGTTACTTGCAGTGAAGACCATACCGATTAGACATCTACGGAACTCCCACGACAACGCCATGCTTCTCCAGAGTAAATACGCCATCGAATAGTCCTTGCTCCACGGTAGCTCTCTTATGTACTCCGGTTTCTCCGTGCGGCTATAAAAGGAGGCAGCCAGACCATTTCCGGACGACGGATAGAATCACAGATACTCGCACGAACAACACGCCTCGCTCAAGAATTCATATCACCTCCCCTCACAGAGATCCGGGACAAACTCCTCTCTCGCCTAGCTTGTAACCCCTACTACGAGAGCACCCGGTGCAAGGAATACAAGAACACCTTCTCAGATCGGTTGTAGGGCATCCATTGCCTCAACCAAGATAAACCTTGTGTCTCTTTGCATCACCATCCGAATTGGGAGCACGCAAGACAAATTCACTAGTCGGTTAAGGACCCTCGGTTTCAAACACCGGCTATTGGCATGCCGGGTAGGGGGCTCTGCGTGTCAGCTTAGTCATCCCACCAGATTCCGGATGGCAGATCCCGTGCAATCGTTGCGTCTCGGGATGATCGTCTGGTTCGGGAGCCTAGAATTCATGTCTCTAGGGCACGAGTACGACATGGTACTCCTCTCACCCAGAGCGCCATCAATCGACGATGACGTCTTGCACCAGCAGCCCACGCGCGGATGGCGCCTAGGCCGCTGCTCCCGTCAAGCTCGCCTAGCGCCGCGCGGGCGAGTCCACCCTAACACCACGCAAGTACAGAACACCGATCTGTGCTCCACCAGAATCCCATACCCCGCTGCTGGCACAGAGTCCCTGCACGGGGACCTGTTCGGCTTAAGCCTCGACAGGGGAAAAGGGCCGGTGGCGCACAGCGACACCCCATCATCAAGCTCTGTCCCACCTCCTCCCGAGGAGCCAGCTCTGACGGAGCAGAGCATGGCGACGGCGCCATCCCCGTACCCTTTCGGGCTGACCAATGTCGCCGCCTCCTACGCCACCGCCCTCGTCTCCATTCATCAACGTCATGCCCATAACCCCATAGTCACAACTCCAATCCACCCCCACTCTGACTCCTCGGAGGAGGACGAGGCGTGGGTTGGAGCAGACTTCTCCGGGATTCGCGACCCTGAGGCGATGCGCCGCTTCATGATCGCAAGCGACTACTGCTTCGGCCATTCCGATTCCGACGGCGAGGACGCTTACGACCCGACTTGTGAGTGTTTCCACGTCGGACTCGGAATGCCGAGCACGGGCAACGATGGAGGTAGGGCAGCCAACGCCACACCACCACGCACGGGGTTCCCGCCAGCGGCGGCAGGTATCCCCACCCCCGAGCAACTTCGACGCATAGACCTAGAGCAGCTCCGTGAGCTTCAAGCCAAGGTCGAGCAAGATCGACTCCTCCGCAAAGAACCCCGAGCCACCTCGAGCAAGAGCAAGGGGCGCGGCGATGATGGGAACGGCCCGGTTGGGGCTCTCGCGACGCCAACCGCCACATTAACGATGATGAAGGGGCGAGCAACCCCGTCTTCAATCGCGCTTAGCGTAACGTCGCTGCGGCGGTAATATCGCCCGAAGCGATGCCCGAGCCTCTACCACGGAGGGGCGACGAGTCCACGGCGAACTCGGGGTTTTCTCGATCGCGCTGGTGGTGCGAAAGGCGAAAGCTCCGCGTCTCGACGACGCGGGGACGCCTCGAAATAGCCCTCGATGCACGACCGCCTCAGGGCCCCCTCGGTGCACGACCGCCTCAGGGCCGCCTCGATGCACGACCGCCTCGACGACCAACGCGAGGCGCAAAACGACCACCACATGGGCGGCAGACGACGGCGCCACGACCACGATGGGGCCGCCCGGGGCTACCGAGTGCACCGAGGCGGTCGCTATGATGATGGGGAGGACGCGATCCTTCTCCCCGCCGCTGGCCCTAGAGTTTTTAGTAAGGCCGTCCCAAGCGCCCGCTTCCGGCCTGGGTTTTCGTCACCAAATGAATCTCTCAAAGTACAATGGCGAGACCAACCCCGAGCTATGGTTGGCCGACTACCGTCTGGCTTGTCAGCTAGGCGGTGCGGACGATGACTTGCTCGTCATCCGCAACCTCCCCCTATTCCTGTCAGACTCAGCACGAGCTTGGCTCGAACACCTTCCCCCTATGCAAATCCACGACTGGCGTGACTTGGTAAAGGTCTTCGTCGGGAATTTCCAGGGCACCTACACGCGCCCCGGGAACTCCTAGGACCTCAAGAGCTGCCGCCAGAGACCGGACGAGTCTCTCCGAGACTTCATCCGACGTTTCTCTAAGCAATGCACCGAGTTGCCCAGCATCGGCGACTCAGAAATCGTCCAAGCATTCCTCTCCGGCACCACCTGTCGAGACCTGGTCCGAGAATTAGGCCGGAGCGTACCGACCACAGCATCCGCACTCCTCGACATCGCCACCAGCTTCGCCTCTGGCGAAGAGGCCGTCGGGGCCATCTTCCCCAATAATGACTCCAAGGGGAAGAGGCGGGAGGAGACCCCCAGGGCCTCGACGTCTCGCCCCCCCAGAAAAAGAAGGGACGCCAGGGGAAACAGGAGGTTCTCGAGGCCGGGCTCGTCACGGCCGCAGACCGCAAGAATCCTCGAGGCCCAGGGCTCTTCAACAACATGCTTAAAAGACCCTGCCCATACCATCAAGGCCCGGTAAAGCACACCCTCGAGGAGTGCACCATGCTCCGGCGATACTACGCCAAGCTCGGGCTCCCCAACGACGATGCCAAGAAGAGGGGCCAGGACGACGGAGACAACGACAAGGGCGACGGGTTCCCCGAGGTACACAATGCCTTCATGATCTTGGTGGGCCCTCGATGTGCCTCCTCACTGTAGCGATAGCGAAAAGGGAATGCCGAGAGGTCTTCTCGGTTAAGGTGGGCATCGCCCGGTACACTCGACCCGGTCTCGGAGGCGATCACCTTCGATCGGGATGACCACCCCGATCATGTCCCAAACCCTGGCCAGTACCCGCTCGTTGTTGACCCGATCATCGGGAACACCCGACTCACCAAGGTGTTGATGGACGGAGGCAGCGGCCTCAACATCCTGTACGCCAACACGCTGGAGCTCCTAGGGCTCGACCGGTCACAACTCCGAGGCGACGCCTCGCCCTTCCACGGCATCATGCCAGGGATGCGCGCATGACCCCTCGGGCGTATAGACTTACCCGTCTGCTTTGGCACCCCCTCCAACTACTGCAAGGAGACCCTCACCTTCGAGGTGGTGGGGTTCAAGGGGACTTATCACGCCATCCTGGGACGGCCGTGCTATGCCAAGTTCATGGCGGTCCCGAACTACACCTACCTCAAGCTCAAGACGCCGGGCCCCAATGGTGTCATCACTATTGACTCCACGTACGAGCATGCATACGACTGCGACGTCGAGTGCATCGAGTACGCCGAGGCTATAGTGGAGTCCGAGGCCCTCATCGCCAACCTCGACCAGCTCGGCAGCGAGGTGCCTGATTCGAAGCGTCATGCCAGGACGTTCGAGCCCACGGAGGCCGTCAAGCTCGTCCCGGTTGACCCCACTTGCTCAAACAACCGAAAGGCCGAGGGTCGGTAGCGACCCTCGGCAGCAAATAGGGGGTCGTGCTCGTCGACTTTCTTCGCGCGAACGCCGACATATTCAAGATGGAGTCCCTCGGACATGCCGAGCATACCGAGGAGGTCGCCGAGCACGCGCCGACATCCGGCCGGCTCTGACCGGTGAAGCAACGCTCGAGCCGATTCGACGAGGAGAAGCGCAGGCCATCGGCGAGGAGGTATGAAGCTTTTGGCGGCCGGATTCGTCAAGGAAGTGTCACATCCGGAGTGGTTAGCTAATCTCGTATTAGTTAAGAAGAAAATGGAAAATGGAGAATGTGTGGACTACACCGGTCTAAACAAAGCATGCCCAAAAGTCCTGTTTCCATTACC